GGAAGTGGGGGAGGAAGGAGAAGAGGGAGAAAGAAGCAGAAAAGGGAGGACGAAACAGAAGTGGAGAAAGAAGCGGAAGTGGGGGGAGGAAGTGGAAGAGGAACAGGAAGAGCAGCAGTGGCAGCAACACGCACCAACCTCAGTGCCACGAAACACAACTGAGGCAAAGGCACAGCCGGTGGCCGTAGAGTAGGTTACCTCACTGGGAGTTAATGTAGAAAATCCTTCAAAAACAACATTGAAGCTGGGGTTTAAATTCTTCAGTTTTGTTTTTTTAATTTTCGCTCGGCTGCATTTTGAGCGCTTAGTCATCAGCCAACCTTCAGCGGCCCTGACTGGCCAGCACGGGAGCCCTCGCCTGCAGGTGTCCGCACGCAGCCAAGGGAGCGTTGCCTCATCTTGGGTACTCTGAGGACTCGGAACATCTTGACCTAAGTGCTAAGGACCAGATATACCCAATTCCCCTCACCCATGATGAGCTACTTAACGGTACAATCAACTAAGGAATAAGCACACAAATATTTACTTTTTCTGAAAGAAATGTTCCCATGGGAAAGGAGTTTAAAGAAACATGGACTCTCTTTAGTCCTTTGTGATTTGTAGTGACACCTCATTCTATTATACCCATCAATTACTCTAGCTCCATTTTACAGAAAACTACAGTGCCCGGAGGCTGGGAAGGTGGAGCCTGGAGCCACCATATGGCGGGCCACTGACCCTTGTCTTTCCAGGCGTCTCACTATCACTATCAGATAAAACATATACAGGTTCAGTTCTATTCTAGAAAATAATCAAGGCCTCATTTCTATTTTCCCAGTGAGTTTCATTCTGATAAACAGTAATGTCTAATAGCATACAAATACTCTAGAATCCATACTGCAGAAAAAGGTAAGTTCTCACTAATACATAATCATCACAACATGTGCTTGCCTGGTCCTCTATATAGTGCAACTTTTAAAAATTTTTATCTACTGCCAATTAGCACACATTTTGGATAACTTATCCTCGGGGTTGCACTTTAGCTCCTCTTGTTACATAAGAGGTCCGCCTGCCATCATCTCTTGCATTCCCCTGGGCCACCAGCAGATGGCACTGTCGTCCCTTTATTCATCTTGCTGTGCTGGGTGTGGGTTTCTATTTTTCATTTCACAAGTTCACAATATAGATACTGGCCAAAGAACAGCAAGCCAATGTTTCATAAGCATGAGGCTCCCCAACTCATCAATTTGCAAAGGGGGGAAATGACACCATATGAAGTTTAATTTGGATGCAGTGAATTGTCCCTGCAAACAGGCTGGCAGGGCAGCGATGCGAAATGCCATCTCCTTCTCTCCTTGAGACTGATTATAAAATTCATCCAGAGGGAGCAAAAACCAGTGATGTAACCAAATTCCAAATTTGGATGGCAGCAGGTGGAAAGGGTCATTTACTGATCTCCTGGGTGGAAGAAATTAATGCTCAGAAGATAGTTCCAAAGAGACCTCCTGGTAACACATCCTTCTCTAGCCAGACTGAAACGGGGGCACTGGAAGCCGGTCCAGAGCCTCCCCATCCACTTCTGTCATTGTCACAGGGCAAAATAAAGGGACAGGAACTTCATCATGGAGATGGATGACTGGGAAATCATAATAAGCACGTTGTCCCTTTGTATTTAGTATGTAGTAATCACCTGATTTCTGAACTCAGTCTTCCTAAGCATCTTCTTAATTTCAGCAGTAACCACTACTTGACCCCCAAACTGCTTTACTCTCTCCTGTAGGCCAAATTCACTTAAGAAAATTCATAAGCAATTTTAGATGTTCCTAAAAGTCTCGCAAGCTTAACTAATTCTTTTCATCCCACCTCAAGTCTTCAGCAAGTTCTTCCATCAATTGTTTCAGGTTTTCATTTGCACTCTCTGGCTCGCCCAGGCTGTCTCTCATACAAATACTTAGCTCCCAAGATGAGTCTGGTATCCTTTGGGGTCCACAGAACAGGGGTCTTGGTTCTGCTGGAGCTAGGATGCGGGTGCAGATGGATTTACCAAGAAGACCTCCATGAAGAGGTGGCAGCTCAGTAGAGGCCCGACTGAGCAGCTGGCAGGCTCTGTACACCCTGCTGGGCCGGAGGCAGTGCAGGGCCACCCATGTGTCAAGATGCCCCAGCGGGAGCATCTCTGTGGAGATGTTCAGGAGACAATTGCATGTGTTAGTCTAGAGTTCAGAGGAGAAATTAGAAGTTGGAAGTGACATATTGTCCTTAACGCTGTGAGACCAATAACACAACGAAACGAAGCCGTGTGAAGGCTGAGTCCAGGGGAGCTTCAACTTTTAGGGGTCAGGGAAAGAAGGCGAAGTATGCGTTTGGACCCACTAGGATGAGCTGTCAGGGAAGAGGGAAAGCCAGGGTGTGGGGTTTGGCCCCTTTCTGGCTACCAGCAGGGAAATTGATCTTAAAGTTATATTGTTGTCTCAAATGCCACACACTGTAAAATCCAGATTGCTCTATTTTCTGTTACGTCTATTGCTTCACAGCAGAGATCTTCCCAAGACCTGGGAACAAAGGAGCAAATGGATTCTTTACACCTGGAGAGAACCCCACCTCTCTGAGGAAGCACTCAGCTAGTGCTCTGTGGGGCCCCTCCCCTCCCAGGACAGGGTGTTCATTGGCCGAGGCCATAGTGGGGCCGAAAGCCCCATCTCTATGGGGTGCAAAGCCTCCTCCACTTTAGTATCCAGTTCTCATTTACAGCGGAGAAATTCACATTACATCTTGGCCTTGAAAAGTACTGGGATGATAGGAAAATGGGGAGATGGGGCACACTGTCAAGGGCAGATCTCGATGTGGGTCACAGGTTTACCAGACCAAGTATCTCAGACCTTCTCAGGGGGTGGTGGCGCTGTCCACCCTCTTGTTGCTTGTCCAAGGAAAGGAAAGCACACAAGCGGCCCGAATGCTTTTCTCCTTCTGTCTAGTGATATACAAATAGGTCAAGGG